CGTATTTGATTTTAAAGGTGTATACATACTGAATGTACATTTGGTCCCAAAATTCCCCATAGGTGAAACTAACAACAGTAAGTTCAGGCAAAAAACTGACCGTAGGGATATTTTTATCTCCCTGGTAATTTCATCCATGTAAATCAAAAGTACAGGAAAAAGGCTGGCAAGTGTAGGTGATCTTGTCTGCTGTGCACATGGTTGGTGCTTTATGCTTGCCTGTAAAACCCTCTCTCAAGGCCTAGTTGCTGTGGCTGACTGTAGCTTATTTTAGGAAGTTGAGTCTCTTGAGTGACTGTTGCCAACATAAAATTTGAGAATCTCACAAAAGAAATAAGTGTGTCATGGGAAAGATGACACAGTGCAGTTTATACATATTACAGCATATTAATGAGCTATTTTACTCATACAGTAGCTGGATGGCAGAGGTAGCTATGCAGTATAATACATTTATGTCTGCCCACATATGCATGAGTTAAGTCACAAATAAAGTTATTGATGGAATTTTGCACTGGTTTATGACAAATTGATTTCATTTACTAATTTGGATATTGGTTTTGAGATGTGATTCACCTCATCACTTCCAGGGGTGACCAGAAATAAATTTCTCCTTACAACAAATATACATTTTCAAGCAGAAGGTGGTTAGAAGACAGATTTAATACTAAATTATCTGAGTTAAATATGTGTAAAGATGTGTATGGCATATTATGCAGAAACTTCTGGTAGCAGTACAATGTTACAATTTTATTTTGGACATGTGTGGGTGTTTTTTTTTTTTTTTTTTAATTATTTCTACAACATCATTTTTTTCTTAAATTATTTTGTGTATGCTTACATAGAGGCAAGTGCTAATAGAGAGTGCCTCCATATTGCAACATAGTACGGGAACTGTTCCAAAAAAAAAAAGTCACTATTTTTAGACACAATGTTGAAAGAATTCTGTGGATAATTTCCAGTTGTAAGTTATGTCAAAGATTTAAACTTTTTTAGCATTGTAATGTAGCCCTGGTCCAATGGCTTGACCTCAAGTTTTATAAATGAAAGAAAATAATCTGGGTCGTATTTGCTTGTGTAGTTTAAACTATTTTTCTGGAAACAACCTTGAACATATGCCCATTCACTGTCAAGCAAGTTTAGCTTGAGTTCAACTGGTGAACTCCATAAAATACCTGTGGCTAAGGTGCTGATGAACAAATTTCTTTCCCCTTCCGTACCCCCCTTGCACACCACTAGTTGCGCTCTTTTCACAACCAGTCCCAACCAGTTTTCTTACGGTTCACTCTGCATAATAATAAGTCGTGAAAATTAAAATTCTGTAAACATTAAAAAAAAAATGTTTATTTATAGTCAGAATCATTCAACCTTGGAATGTTGTTTTCTCATTTTAAGAAAAAAAATGTTTCAAGGGGGTTTACCTCGCGTGATTTCTTGTTTATGACTGTTCGTGACGTGAAATACTCGTCTAATATCTCACTCTTTTATCGTTTTCTGATCGATATCTTTACGGTGAGAAAAATTGCGCTTCTTTTGTGCACTTCTCATTGTTTTCACTTAACACTTGAGTAAGGTAGCTATTTAAGTCCATTTTGTTTTGTCTGGGATTAATCGTGAGCGCAATTTAATGAAATTAATCACGAGATGACTAAGCATGGGAATTATTTGTTAAATGACAACACGGCGCCGCACTTTTTAGAAAACGCAATTTCAACTCTGCCAACAATAGATTATTTTTGTAAACATTAAGAAACTGTTTATGGTTAAATTCGAGTGCAATACAGAGTTTCTTGTTAGCTGACCGCACAGGACGTTCTTGGCATTCGAGATATTTCAACAACATGTTTTCATAATACGGTTTGCTTCTTACGATTCTTCTTCACGATTTAATCATCAGAATTGACTGACTTAAAACACCGAGTAATCAATATTTTATGCGAAAAATATAGTAAAATATCTAGAAATAGAAAAATCAACAACGAAACAAAGTTTCCGTGACTCGTAGTTTCCTGCTTTCGCAATTATCAGACGGTGGTTATTCCAATGGAAGACAGACCGTATGTCTTCCATTGGAATAGCCACCGTCTGATGATTGCGAAAGCATGAAACTACGAGTCACGGAAACTTTGTTTCGTTGTTGATTTTTCTATTTCTATTTACGCTCTATTTTACGTATTGAGCACTATACAGCCAGCTAAAGCATCTCCTCCAGATAGTAAAATATCTATAATGTTCGAACTGTGAAATACGTCGCGGCTGATTAACTTATATCGAGCGTTTGTCCTAATGGAGGTGGGCGTGATAAGAATTGAAATTTTCGGTTTGTTTTGTCACATTATGTAAAAAGTCGTTCAATGGAATATTATTTTTCCAAGAAGACAGTTTCCATTGTTATCAACAAAACCACCTTGACTGGTGCCAGAATGTCGAAAACAGACCACTTAAAGTATGCAAAACCCCCAATAGCGCTTTATTCAAATGAACCATTTGTGATAACTTTTCACTACACTATTTACATAACACTACATGTAGATTGCTTATAATGGCCTGTGCGACATTAAACGATTTCCTCTTTAATCTCAGAGGAAAGTTCACATGTAATTATTGCAAGGGGGCGCTTAACAATCCCAAGATTTTACCATGTCTACACTCTCTCTGCTGCGGTTGCCTCCGACGGCTCGAGATGGAAAGCCTTGGCGTGGAACGAGCCAGATGTCCTTCATGCAGAGCCTTAATTGACCTGCCGGAAGGCTCTAATATCGACAATCTTCCTTCTCCGCTCTACATGAATCGACTACAAGAAATGATCAGAATTCGAAACAACAACCTCGAGTTAGCTTGTGGAAGCTGTGATCGAAAAGCAGCTGCTGTGTCCTATTGTTTCGATTGTAGATGCCTCGTGTGTGTCGGTTGTGTTGAAGTACATGCGCGAATAAAAGTGATGAAGTCACACCGTATTGCCGAGCTGAAGGAGATCTCATCGAAAGATCTCCCTGTGTTAATTCAAGCCCCGTTGTCGTGCCTTGAAGATGGCCACAAGCATGAAGCGCTTGATCAATTCTGCAAGGATTGTGAGAGGCAAGTTTGTGAGAAGTGCGTTAATTCCTCACATAAGGGCCACAACTTACTGCCGATCAGCCAAGCGAGTAGAGAAAGTAAAAAGCGTATTTTACATGCCATGGATGGTTTGCAGGACAAGATGCTGTCGTGTCGAGAAGAGATAAAGCGAGTCGATCAAAGCTACAAAACTGTAGAAAGGAGGGTAATTACAGCTCGGCAAGAAGTCCTGAAGAAAATTGAAGACTTGATCACTTTATTGAGAAAGCACGGAGATGAAATGTTAGCTGAACTAGAGAGTGTTTACAAAGATCAACAGCTTTCCATTATTAAACAGCGGAAGGAGCTTGAATTACAAATGGGTCAATTGCAAAAAACTCATGAATTTGCTAATGAAATGCTACAGAGAGCTATTGGGGGCGAGATTTTAGATATGGAAAGGTCGATGAAAAGACGATTTCAACAGCTTATGGCCATGAAACCCAAACTAGTGCCACATGCACAGAAAAGTATAAACGTTGATTATATTCCTGATCCAGAGGTACAAAAAACTCTGTTCCAGTCAGGCCTCGGGCGAGTTTTTGTGAGCCACACAGACCCCGCGACTTCGATCGCCGAGGGAAAACAAATGACCCAACTCCTCACTGGAACCGGAGAACGAATCGAATTCACGATTCAAACGAAAGATTCCGATCAGAAACCGAGTTACTCAGAGAATGATCGTGTTTCGGTCCATATCCAGTCAACTAAAGGTACGGCAATTCCCACGAGAATCGAAGACAAGAAAGACGGAAGTTACGTCGTCTCCTACACGCCGTTGAAACCGGGTGTGTACCAAATCGACGCAAGGGTTCGTGGCGAGCAAATCAATGGAAGCCCGTTCACAGTACACGTGACGACTCGTGCCGAGTATCTTAAGGCGAGCCGGATAAGCCTGGAAAATGCTTCTAAACCTGACCAATACAAACCTGTCTCATATTTCGGCTGCGCTGCTCAAGACAAGTTCCAGATCAAACGTCCATGTGGTCTTACAATTGGTTCTTCGGGAGAGGTCGTGGTCGCAGACTCTTGGAATCGTCGGCTTCTGATCTTTCATCAACGGGGTAAAGAGAAATTGCAGTTTGAGAGTAGAGTTTTGGAGGGTAGCGTGGATTTGACGAATCCAGTGGGAGTTGGGTTCGATTCAGAAGGAAACATTGTAGTATCCGACAGTGACAACCAGATGATTCACGTAATCGATCGATGTGGCGTGACTATTAAGACATTCGGAAGTGACGTTCTCGAATGCCCGTGGGGAGTTTGCGTGACGCGGGAGGGCAGAATCACCGTGTGTGACTGGGGGAGCGCTTCCGTTAAAGAATTTTCCCAACAAGGAAAACTTCTCAAAGAGTTCGCCAGTCGATCCTCGGCCAAACCTTACTACATCATTCATCACAACGAAAAATATTTCGTAACCTTCGATACACACTGCATTGAAGTGTTCGACAACGGAGGGAACTTCTTGTATAAAATTGGCGAGAGGGGTTCCGGTGAAGGACAGCTAAGGGACCCGAGAGGAATGGCGATTGACAGCAAAGAGAATCTTGTCGTCTGTGACAGTGGGAATCATCGTCTCCAGCTATTCACCACAGACGGAAGAGCTTTTGCGTTTGGAAATCAGGGGAAAGACGCGGGTCAGTTTGATAAGCCTCAAGACGTTGTTGTCACATCCGATGGCAGACTATTCGTGACTGATTATTGCAATAATCGTGTGCAGATACTGCGAAAGAGCAACAGTGAAGTGCTGATTAATTAGAATACGCTGCAAAACTCCAGAGACGATGATTTACTTTTGACAAGTGTAAATGGCTCTTTCAGTGCGAGTCTCAAGAAATGTAGGAACTCGTACATTTACTTATTTGTTCCCCGGTGGATTATTATGGTTACCAACGAACTTTCACAGTTATTAGCTATTTGTTAAGTTAGCCATGATATTTTAACCATATTTACATCAGAGTTGCGATCACTAAGAAATTATTCAAAATCACTTCTTCTACCCGGTAGTTATATCTCGAACAAGAAAGTATAATCTCTTGATTTCAAAGAAACTTTCTTGCGCGAGCTCTATCGTATCGCAGGACCACTTTGCTAAAAGCTATGCTGTTACTAGAATAACTTCAAAGAAATGCAGTTAAAATGAAAAGAGAAATAGGATCACTCACGTTTCCTGGGAAACCACTCGATTTTTAGGCGTCACTCGATAAAAGATTTATAACGAGACTCGTTCATTCAGAAATATATAATTATCTGTGATATACTCAGTCATACAATGGCCCGCTAAGCGGTCTAAATTAACAATGTGAATAAAAGTATGACTCCTAAGGAAAGCAAAGACTATGATTCAAAGGAAACTGTCAACTTCAAAAATTTTCGTGTTACAGTTCAAGTATTAGATACCTATGCTAAAAAACTGTTTCACTCGGGGTTTTCAGGTTTAATTATGTTGTTCGAAGACAATTTATACTGTTTGTCTGAAGCTTCTTTGTAGTTGACGCAGTTAATTGTGTAAAGATCATCAGTTACTGAACATAGACTCCACAGGTAGCTGGAAATACTTTTGTGCTAAGGTCCTTATTGACATGTATTTCACCACAACTCACATCAGACCCGTGCAGACCAATACCAACGCCTCGCACTATATATGGCGGGTTGCAATTCGTGGTTTGGGACTGCACTCCAACACGTGATTTCATAGCCCACTGTTTAGTGCCCCGGATGTTGAAGCCGCGGACCAAACAACTTGTGCTGATGTTCTGTGGGGTCCAAGGTTGGATGACAAAAGTACTTTCTGACAGCGTTGTTCTAACACCCATGTCCAGCAGCGAGTAAAGGGAATTTGCACTGTTGACTTTCATGAGCATGTTTATCGTCGCTCCTCTTTGAAAATTCATGGAAACGCAGAGTTTTCTGAAAGGATTGAGCCAATATCCCGGAAGTTTGTTTTCTATTCCACCTCCAATCCCTTGGTAAGGCATTTTGCTGTCCCATTGAGGAGAATCGTAGATAAACGTGTTCTGAATGTGAGGGAAGAAAATCTTAAGTCGAGTGAACTTGATCCTCAACATGTTCTTAAGATGTCAACTTGTTACCGTGAGAGCCAGTTCTCATATGTATAATAGAGTGTCAGTTGACTGTAGGCCGCGGGTGAAACTCACACGAGTTTACATTCATATCCCGACCAGAAAGGAAATTGATGACATAATTTCTTGCATAAAGTTGTTTTTCTATGGGAGCTGCTACCTCGTCATGGGGACTTAAGAACATTACACGACCATTCCAACCCCATTTCGTTGTGGTGATGATTTTTCGCCCTATCTTTTTAGCATGTTCTTAAAGGGAAAGTACGGTCTAGAAAAAGTTTACTTAGATGAAAAGTTCCTTGCTTGAATTGTCCTAACTGGCTATTCATTTGAGCTAAAAGCGTTTTAGTTGCGAACAATTACGTTCCAAAAATCGGCATTTTCAAATTGAAATCCGCCATCTTTGTTATGACGTAGCAATAGTCAAACATGCTAAATTATATCCCTTGCTGAAGTGGATGTAAA